GCTTCTACCGGCCGATCGAAGTGGCTGGTGACTACATTTGGGGAGTTTCCATTGCCCGAAAGAGACTGCCTAAAGGCGAGGGGACATGGGCAGCCACGCCTCACCCTGAAGGGGCTGGGGACTCTGCCTTCAAGGGAGCTTTCGTCTGCTGATAGAAGCGGCCTCACGGCGAGGGGAGTGTGTGTGTGCGCTCGCCCTGAGGCCGCTTCTACCAGCCGATCGAAGCTCCCTTGAAGGCAGAGTCCCCAGCCGCTTCAGGGCGAGACGTGGCACACACACACTCCCCTCGCTGCAAGGCCGCTTCTACCGGCCAATTGAAGTAGCTGGTGACTGCATTTGGGGAGCTTCCATCGCCCGAAAGAGACTGCCCTAAAGGCGAGGGGACACAGGTAGCCACGCCACGCCCTGAAGCGGCTGGGGACTCTGCCTTCATGGAGCTTCTATCGGCTATCGGGGTATTCTAGCCTCGGCTACCTGCAGGGCACTCCTAAAGGTAAGTTTTCTCCCCATCCCCCCCGCCCTTCCCCCTCCCATTTCTCTTCACCTCGTGTAGTTCTAACAAACGATGTGAGAAATGGCGGGGAAAAGCATGGTTTGAATAGGCCTAAATTTTGGGGGAGGGGCTTAATTTCACCTCATGCCTAGAAATCATGCTGGGCCGTCCTATTGGTGGAGGCTGTATTGTTGGAGAAACACAGTAGGAGCTGGCAATAACTGTAGAAGCACTTCTAAAAAAACCTTTACAGGTTTACAAAATTTGCAGACTTCTTTTTCTAGTTAAAATCATCGGTTGGCTTTATTTATAGCAGTATCTTGTGTAGTTAAAACAAAGGTTCGCAGAAAGGCACATCTGTTTAAAACAGAGCACTTTTCCCACCCACGTTTATGATATAGGAGGCAACTGAGAATGAATTATGCTTCCTTTTTCTTTCTTCAACAGAGTCAATATTCCAGAAATGGAATATTGATGGAGAAAACATCCTGATGTTTAAATAATCTTTTACAGCTGGGCTGAGATTAGTCATTGTAATTTGTTTCTTCCAACTGTAGGGACTTCAATTCATTGGACCCAAATGACCCCATTGGGAACAACCAACTGGCTTTAGATATGGCTGAGCAGGAGCTTGGCATTTCTCCAGTCCTCTCCAGCACTGAAATGGCTTCCCTGTCTGATAATGAGCAACTTGGCTTGATCACTTATTTGAGCCAATTTTATGATGCCTTCAGGACTGCTCCAGGTAGAATGTCCCCAAAAAACCCGGTTCTGAGTGCAGCCAATAAATATTTAGCATAAGCAATTTGTTAAACCTTTGTAGAGAATTGTCCCTTCTTTTAGATAAAGGCTTGCAGTATGCACTAGATGGGAATGAACAAGGCTGGATCAAAATAGAAACCTATATAATCCAGCATCCTTCCACTTCCTCAATGATCAATCAGATTTTTATGGGGGCATCACAATCTTATCCCCCCACCCCCCACTGTGCTACTATAACAGCTATTATTGAAAAACTGCATGTCCTGATATTGGAAATAATACCCAACTATTCTAACCAGTAGCCATTGGTGTCCTCATCCTCTATGAATTTGTCTAGTACCTTTTTAAGTCCTAGTTGGTGTCATTACCATACTGTGTGGTTGTGAATTCCATAATAGTTGTGGGACCAGTGTAATTGGAAGGTCAGATAAAATAACAAGTTTACAATGGTTCATTCATTGAATATCTGTTCCTAGGCCTGTTATTTTCATATTGCTCCTGCAATAGAAATAGAGACATTATCGTTCAGAGTACACACCCCACTTTAATAGGTTTAATAATGAAACTATATACCTCAAGCTTGATTCAGTATCAAAAAGTATCATATTTTCTCTTGTAGAATGGAAGGAGAAAGCAGAGAAACCTCTTGTCCCATGTGGCACCAAAAGTGCTATCCTGTTTCTTAGCAAGCTACAGAAGACTTTATCTCTCTCACGTAAACGGAATTTGGTGAGTCTTTCTCAGCAGAGATTGCAGGATTATAACCAAACATTCCCAGTTTCTTCTATTTCTGCTTTATCTTTATTAAAAATAAGGAGCATGGGGGGTTAAGTATGCTCTGGAAGAGTTCTGAACCTTCCCTCTTTATTGACATTTCAAAGACACAACTTTGAATCTTTGATTGTAGGAAAAGTCTACCTGGGATGCAGAATCCAAGAAGTTAAAGCAAGAGGCTGGGGTAAGTTCTCCCATCATAGTTTTTTATTCATTTTTTTAGTATCATCCTTCCTCTTGAAAAGATATAAGGTTACTAGAACAGTAAATATTCAGTGTTGTTATGTAAACTATGTGTATATTTATATCCTGCCATTCATGAGGCTATGCATAGGAGTCCCTCTTCCCCACAGAAATGTTTTTTTCTCACAGCAGGAAACTTGTGAGATAATAATTATGTTTGGACACACAGCCCGATGTTGGCATTTAGCATTTTAGCTACCTTCCTAAGGACCTGTAATTATTATATCACACCTTTGTTTTGTACAACTCAAGAAGGTATACATAATGCTCCTGCCTCCTATTATCCCAACCACAACATTCCTGTGCGGTAAATTGGGCTGAAAAAGAAAGATTGGTCCCAAATCAGTGAGCCATGGACTGAGTCTCCATGGTTGAGGGAGGTTCCTCTGGTCCTAGTTTAGTGCCTTAACCACTATGCCATGCTGATTCTACCCTAAAACCAGTCAGCTAGAATAGGGATGGAGAATCTATGGCTGCCATGTCAGTTCACAGTATTTCTAGTTGGAATGATCTGGGTTCATGGAATTGACATCCAAAATATGAACTAAGTTTGTTATTTCATTTGTGATTAGTTCTGTGTGAAAGGGATTATGCTGTCAGTTGTGCAATCATCTTTCAACAATCCTTCATAATCAGCTGTAGAATTTATCATAGGGAAGGATATTGTGATTGCATGTAAATTTTGTTACAATCTATCCTGAAAATCCTTCTGATGTTTCGTTTTAAGTAATATATCAGATCTAGTCTAGAGAAGGAAGGAAGGAAGAGTGGCTTCTGTTATAATGAATAAGTATTCCTAGTAGATAATTTATGAAAAACATGAGTCCTTGTTGTATAAATCATTGTAGTAAACGGTACGAATTTTCTGACTTTGGAACACCAAGATGGAAACCTCAGTACACATAATTTATGAACTACAGCTTTTCTGTGACTAATATGTTGAACCCTGCATCTAAATTCTAATCCCAGTGGTTAAGCTCCACCTGTAAAAATTGGAATTCAAATGTCATTTGACAAATTCCATCCTCCAGCTTGTTGGCTACTCAACTCCAAATGAATTTTGGCTGGGGCAGTAAGAGATTCATTTTCAAAACTCAACTGAGACTTGTTCAATTCATTTCCCTTTCCCAAAACTATTGCAGTAAAATTTTGGCTTGTGGGAAATTCTTGTGGCTGAGATGTGCTTGTATGATTGCACAGAACAGCTGCCAAAAGTTTGGATGGTGCCCAAACTATTAGTTTTTCCACCAGAGGTCAAGACACTCGTTTCCCTGTTTAGCAAGAGGCTCTCTGAAACAGCTGTTGGGCCAGGTGATGAGGAAGAAGCTGGATTAACCAAACAATGAATGAAGTTGCTATTAGGTCCCATTTGTACAGTTACATGCTGTCAGGAAGCTCAACAGCATTGTTCAGGTTCACACATTCTCATGAAAAGATTACCTTGATGGATGTTTCAGGGACTCTCCAATGGATCTGTCTCCCTAAGGATTTTGCTGCCTTATTTTGAGCTAAGTTACTGGAGTTTAATACATAATGCTATCTGAAATATGTCTCTAGAAATCTAGGAAGCTCCCCCATAAATCTGACCATGGGTTCATCTAATCTAGAATTGCTATAGTGACTGATAGCAGCTCTTTAGGATTTCAGACATTGTTATTTTTTTTCAGTCCCCTCCATAAATGCTAGGAATTAAACCTGGGACTTCCTTCACATTTCACTCTTCCTTATCATATTCAAAATGAGTAAGGTTATGATTAACAGTCAGATTAAAAAAATCCAAAGGGCATTTCTCTCTCATACACACCTCTGTTGGATATCTTTTATAATTGATATCCTTTATTAAGAGAACAGTTGTGCTATGGAGAACAGCTGTACTTTGACCTCTGTTCTCTGGATAACAGCACTGGGATTTCTGGGTGGTAAATAGAACAACTATTGTACTCTTGATAGTGTTCACTTTGCAACTCATTGCAATTACCCATTTGCACATTGCTCTGGCTTCTACCATCTTGTACATCCACTTGATTGCCACACCCTCATTCCTTGTTGGTTTTCTGATCTGGGTGATCCATGAAACCTGATAGCACAGATCAGCACTGACCTGACCTGAGGATAGAGTCTGCTTGAGGTTTAAGACTGCTCAGAATTCATGACCTTAAGGGAAACTATTGATCTTCTGATAGACTTTGCCTGTCTCTCCGATGAGGAGCAGTGATGCCTGCTACTTCTGTGGAGATCACATTTACATCCTGGAGCGGGTCAGTGCCGAAGGGCGCTTCTTCCATCGAGGTTGCTTCAAATGCCATTACTGCAAAATAACATTGCGACTAGGAGATTTTGTCTTCAATGAAGATGATGGTAAGTAGAGAGAAAAGCTTAGAGCCAATAATTGGCAAGCCTGACAGAGGAGAAGCAGAAATGGTTTGAGTTGCCTGAACTCTGTCTGTATTGTTTCCTGTTTTCTTTTGTTGTCTCCAGACAGAGTATGCATAGAGACGTACAACCAAAAGTTCAGGGTATTATGCCCAGCAGCCTTAGAAGTGATATCCTGTAATGGTATATGGGAATGACCTTAGAAGACAGAAGAGATGCTGCTTAGGGAACAATAAGATAAGCGAGGTTAAGTCCACAATTCAGAAAGGAATTTCCCTTCCTTCTCAGTCTGTGAAAAAGACCACAGAAATTTATACTAAGTGTAAGATTTGCAAGATTATGTTAATTTAGCCTTACAATAATATAGAATTAGCTTAAGTGGTTGTATTTCCTGCCTGGTCCACTTGGGAAGATTGGCGTCAATCTTGCAAGCCAATTGCATTTTATTCTAAGGCCACATTAACATAATCTTGTAAATCTGACAGTACAAATTTCCCACCATCTTTTTTACAGCCTGAGAAATAAGGGAGGTTCCCTTTTGAATTTCTCTGCCCATTATGCAGCTGTGGGCTGTACCTTCTCTTATCTGATTGTTCCCTAGGCTGCATCTCTTTCATCTGCTAAGTCATTCCTACATACCATTACATCCCCAGAGACTTCCAATATAGTTGACTGGGGGGGGGGACGATGACACATGACACGACTATTAAATAGTTGATTGCAAAGGGGTAATGTTAATTATTTTTCATGAACATGTAATCAAATCAAAATTAGTCCTTTTCTGGTGCTATACATTCTTTGGCGTGTTATACCCTACCCAAAGGCCAAATGTGGCCCTCAGGCTGGAAATTACACACCCTTGTTTCAGATTCTGCCATTGCCACATCCTCCTTTTATTTAATCCTGAAGATTAAATCTGCACCCCAATAGCATTTCTGGTTGAATTGCTGTCACATACTAACCTGATTGTTTCTTTCCAGGCAACTTCTATTGCACATTGCATTCCTTGGTCTCATCAGACATGACTACCCCCAGCAAAGCTTCCTTCAAAGAAGCATATGAGGTAGGTAGGATGGCTGCCTTTTCAGAATCCGGCTGAGTGTTAAGAGCAGAGCAGGAACAAGTGGATATTCTTGAAAGGATTGGATTATATGAGAAGGATCTTTTCTGTGGTTTTGAGTTTTGAGTTTGACCAATGTTTTGTTCAGATTGCTGACAGTGCTGACAAAAACAAAGTGCTTTAGAACAATATCTTTAGACATGCAATAATGAAAACATGAAAATATGATGTAATCTAAGCAGATGTACGTCATTTGCATGTTGGGCAACACAACAGTAATTTCCCACATATTCTGAACAGAATCTCAGTTGGAAGACACTGACCAGGAAATTGATTGTGTGTGTAGGTAGCAAAGTAAAACTAATGATTTGGGGGGTGGGGGTGGCTATGTGAAAAAAAGGAAATATGTAAGGAAGAAATCAAAAGCAAATTAGCTGGCATCATAATCCCTTTACTGAAATCTACTATACTTCTGATCATTGTGTCTCTCCCTGCCACCTGTCAAAAGAAATGATTGTGTTTGAACACCATGCAAGATTTGAATGTTAGTTTATTGTGACAAGCAGTTTACCGCTGATACTGCTTGTTTGCCCATGCTTGGTTCCACTTTCTTGTGGGTGTGATTAAACAAATTTGGACAGACAAGCACAACATTATACAGTAAGAACTGTGAACAGTGGCTTCACTTCCTAAGCCAGAATCAATGCAAGAAGAAAATGTAGCATATGACTCTCATCTGTAAAAAAAACAAATCATACTTCTTTATTTGCATGCAGAGATGAATCCTGTTTTGTAAGACGCTGCTCCTACTTTCATTCAGAGCTGAGAGGGAACAATTATAACACTGCTTTCTCTTCCTCTGTAAAAGGCGCAAGAAAGAACAATCAGAATGATAGGAAACCAGCTTCAAATTCAGAGTTTTTATATTTTTAAATAATTTTTATTTATTTTATTGAAGATTTTTTTAAACAAATAGCCTAAAAAAAAATAGCCTAAAGAAAAATAATAAATAGGGAGGGGGAAAAAGAAAATAGAATTGAGAATGAAAAAGATTAGTAAAGAGGCAGCTTCTGATCTTGGTAACAGTTATAAATATATTTATATTTTGTCCTCTCTAAAGTTACATCATAAGACACTTCTTTTTATAAGCCCCCTCTTTCTAATCTGAAAACCAATAAATCACAAATTCTTCTCTTTTTTCAGCAAAAAAAAAAAGTCCATGAGGAGCTCCCAGTACTGATAAATCTAATTGTTGATGTTTCTCTAACCAAAACGAATTAATTTTGCTATGTTAGTTCTTCCATGGCTATTTTCTAATTGGCTATCCATTAATCCCAGCAAGAAAAGTTCTGGTTTCAATTAAATGTTGATCTTTAAATTTCTTTATATTATTATATGTATTTGAACCCAGAAATTTGGGACTTGAGGTTTAAGAGGTTGAGGCTTGAGGTTTTATCATTCCCATCTGGGATGATAAAAATGATACTTCATGATGTCCATATTTCCAACATAAATTTGAAGTTCCTTTATACATTCAGACAATTTTTCTAGAGTCATACACCAATAGATATATCATTTTATAAACAGTCACTTTTAGATTATAACATAATGTAAATTTCAATCCTTTTAACCATATATCTTCCCACTATTCCATCAGTATGTTATGCCCAAAGTTCTTAGTCTATTTTATCATGCATTATTAGCCTATTTTTTCATTTGCTCTTTTTGTGTTACAAATGTCAATAAATGTTTATACTATACATTTGGAGAGTTACATGTTCATCATTTGCACATAGTTCAATTTCAAATTCTTTCATCTGCTTTTCAGTTCCAAATGTTCTATTCTCTACCATAAATCTCTTAATTGTGCATACAAAAGCCATTGAAAACTCAATTCCTCTGCAGTCACTTGCTCTCTTGATTTCATTTTATATTCTTCATGTTCCTGTTCTAACAACTCTCTATAGGCTAATCATTTTTCTTTATGTACTGTTTTTTTTCCTATAAAATGCTGCTTGTGCTGAGATTCATAAAGGAATTTTCAGGCACAATCTGAGTTTATATTTATTTCATACTCTCAATATGCTACTTTTATTATAATTAATATCCTTAGTTTTATTGTACCATAGAAAACCATAACATCTGAACCTCAGATTGTGCATTTCTTATTCTAAAATTTGTTTATTTCTCAACAAAACCTATATTTTTATCCAAACTAAGCAGCAAGTTGCAAAATACAATTTCAGATCAGGTAGTGCCAATCCTCCTCATTTCTTTTAATCTTGAAGTATTTTATGTTTAATTTTTTTTCAGGGAGGGGGGTATTTCTTGCCATACAAACATAGATATATCTTTCTGCCATTGTTGCTAGCACCTGTAGATTTTCAATAAATCTGATAACTGGCTGATTCTGGTCATGTAAGATGGGAAATGCTTCGTGTAGGATATGATCAAGTCTTTGAGTGCTGTACCACAATGGTTATAATAAAAAGAGATTAGATAGATGCCTAGAAATTAATATTCTCAGTAGTTATGATGTATGTTGTTTATCGTATTTATTTTTATTTATTTATTAGCTATAGTTTTGGAAGCAGTATGTCTCTCCATATTATTTCTTTGAGTTATACCTCCCCTTTAATTCAGGAGCCTCAAACAGCACCAGTAACATTCCCTCCTTCTATTTTTCCATGTGGCATTAACGCTGGATCAAGAAGAATGACCAGGCCTGGGGAGAGTCCTAGGTCAACATCTAAATCACAACACCACAGCTACTTTAGTTGGTGAAAACATGCAGATACTGTTGTATTAATGGGCAATGGTATCTTATAAGCTTTCTATTCAGAACCTGCTTGGCTACTTTGAGAGCAGGGTATCAATATGATAGAGTATTCAAATGTTTTTTTATATATTTGCAGTTCATTTGCAAACTTGTTGTGTTTTGTTTCTGCAGGGTTTATCCTATGTGGACAGCCCATCAGACAAAAAATTTTTAGACTGGACTACTGAAGAAGAGAGGATGAAAGAGAGAAAGAGAGAAAAAAATCCACGTTGGCAAAACCTGGATGAGATTATGTCTCCCTTTGTAGATCAGCTGCCAGAACACCAGCCTGAACCACTTCAGAAACAAGGCAGTGAAGGCTCCAGCCTATTCCCATCAGAAAAGAAACGTGCCGATACAATAAGCTCCTCGCAGCATCCACCTCGACTGTCCTCTCTTGTGGGAGAGAAGGAGCCGAGTGACTCTGTTCCCAAGGCTGATTCAGCTTTTCAGATTGAGGGAAACAGAAGATCACCTGAAAACAAGGCACAGGACCAAACAATTTGGAGTGGTTACTCTAAGGGAGAACCTTGTCTAAATCTCCTTTCACAAGGACCAGGCCTTACTATTTTGGGAGAAGGTTCAAACCCCACACTAGAGCAAATGCAAAGTGAAAATATCCAGAAGAAGAAAATTTGTTTGTCAGACTTGGAAAAGCTTGAATTATCCAGACTGAGTCCAATTTCAAACCCGCTTGATATTTCGGATACAGGGCTGGAAGAATCCAGCTTCAGCAGAGAATCAGGTTCTTTTCCTTGCTTATTTTTTTATTATATCTCAAATGTTCCAAGCAGATGGTAAAAGAGAGAAGGAGTAAAGATTCAACAAAAGAGGATGAATGAAAATCAGATGTCTGTGATTTACATACTTTTTTATCCATTTTATGTGGCATTTTCCATAATGCAAGGCAAATTCTGTCATGGTATTCATCATATGGGACTTTTTTTTCTTTGTTGCCATTTAAAAAGATTATGAACTCTGTGTTCCTTGCAAACAAAAGGTCCCTCATCATTAACCACAGAAAGTTGTTCTCTTGCTCTTTTCCATGACATTGGATCTCTTTGAAAATTACAATAGGCGGTGATGTTTGAGGCAGTTTCCAGTTTGCCCATATCAGTTCAAGCAGTTTGCCAAGCTCTTTTATGCACTCTTTGATTTCTTCTTTTTACTATGCAATTTTCTCACTCCCTACATCCGGCAGCATCTCTTTACCCACTTCATTTCTTGGAGCTCCTCAGAAAACCAAGGAGCTGCTTGAGAGGAGGCTGTCCAGGACCAATCCTGGCCAGAGATGTGATTGCCTCTGCATTTCAGATTGGTGAAATCCTCTACCATTTCTTAAAAGAAATTTTCATTTCATCTGTAACTAAAAAATGCCTCCACCTCCTGCACTGCTTGAACTTTAGAAAGCGGAAATGATCACTTCGGTCAAGGAATCATTCATCCTTCACTGAAGTTTGATGGGTTTCATCCTTTGAAACTAAAGTTTGCCCCCCCAAAATCTAGTGTTCCATTTACTATTGAAGAGTTTTCCCCTTTGTAGAATTAGGTTCTGATTTTGAATGGTGCAGAAATGCCAAAGCATTTGCCGCATTTAATATTATAAAAGCAAGCCTTCTTTCAAATTCTGACAGAGAAAAGAGTACTGCCATAGGTTCAAGCTTGCAAGTTTAACCTAAAGAACCCCTGTGGCTCTGTTACATGCAAAGTGAATACAGTAATATTTCTCATCATAGCTGTTTTTCTTTGGCAGATTTTCTGGAGGTTGCCAGTGACAGCGAGGAGGAGGAGGAGGAGGAGGAAGAAGAAGAAGGGAACTTAGATCTTGGGAGAAACATGGTGAGTCAAGACACCTGAATTCCAACAAAACAATGTTTGGATGCATACTTCAAATATTTCTCAGAGTTGCTTTTATGTAATCTAGGAGAATCATATTGTCACGACATTAGTAGGTAAAAAACATTTGTCATATTTTCTTAGTATTATTTTTTGCTTTTACAAAAAAATCTCCTATGCATGCTCTTTCTTCTGTATGCCATCAAAGGTTTTAAGTTTTTTTTTCCTTTTTCTAATTACTTTCTTTTTCTGGTTTTTCTATCTACAAGCTTCTTGGTTGCCTTTCTTTTCTCTTGATCATGTATGTACTTCTTTTCTCAACCTGAGTATTTTCCATGTGAGTGGACTCTGGCTTGCAGAATTCTCAGCTCCAACAGTACTGAATTCTGGGGAACATCTGCATAGGGAGGACACAAAATTAAGGAAAACTGCCAAACATCCTTTCACTACTTTTTCTAGTAAATGTCTTGTCATTCAGTGATCCCAGAATGCTGTTTTCCCTGTATACATCACCTACTCTTTTCTTCTTCCTAACACAAGGTTCTTAGAAGACCCATTTCTATTCCCTGTATCTTTTTACATATGATTGCTATTTTGTTTTGGTCACCCTGGTGTTCTTTTATTGTCCTCTCTTTACAACTGTTATCAAGACTTTGAAACGCCCAGCAACTCCTTTCAATAAAAGGCTCACAAAGTGATAAATACAAATCTCAACACACTTCTTTAAATCCATGGGGGATAGGAGTAATGTGAGAAACAGTTACTCGGAGCTTTGACATCCCTTTAGTTGGTGATACCAATCTTTAATTTTCCCTAATGGGGAAGTAAGGGTTAGAAAATGGCCACAGGTAATTTAGAATAAGTTTTTAGGTCTCTGAAATAAACGCAAATGTTTCTGTACTAAAATATTGTTTCCTAAGACTCTTACAAAGTTAATCGGGCTATCTACAGTGAAAACAGAGAATGCTTCCATGCACTTTACAAGTTAAGACTGTGTAGTTAACAGACTCTTTAAGAGGTCTAACTTTAAAAGGTGTAGATTGGAACTTCGTTGGTTATTCTTGAATCTTTGACAGGCCTTTCATCTTTTGCCCAGTGATCCAGATCAGGTGGTCTCAAATCATGGTTTACAATTTAGATTGTGAGCATCTTATTTGGAAAGCTGATCCTTGTGCAGTTAAAGCAAGTGGCATTGTTCCTATTACCTAGTAATTTCTTGCCTGCTGTGTCGTATATCTGTAGTTTTTGGAGTATTAGTGAAGTTTGCTATATTTATTCATTATTTTCAACTTTTGGCCTTTCAGAATAGGAAAAATTTTGTGAGGAGGTTAAGAAACAAAATAAGCTTAAATCACAAAGGCATGATGAGTTGCATCATCATATCAGTATATTTATTTCTTGTTCAAGTCTTATTTGTGGGACAAACAGGCATTGTATCTATTCGTTCATCACTTGGTAGGGGGAGGTTGTATTGCAGAGGTTGGGAACTTTACTTCAGCCTGTTCATCAGGCATCCTGATTTTGGGGGGAAATTTGAGCATTTCCAATAGAGTGTTTTATGTTTGGTATGCAGGAGCCCAGTTGATTTTAGCAGCCATGTAAGCAGCGATGGCTTGTCTGAGTCCATCACTGCAGATAGACAATAGCTTTTAAGTCCTCCGGCATGACCTTCTCTTGTTTTTACCTGTGCACATTGTGGTTTGCAGCATTTCCTCAGCTTCACTGAAGACACTCAGTATCCAACTTGGAAGAAGACATTATTGCGACGAGCCAAAGAGGCCGAAATGAAGAGGTTTTGTAAAGCTCAGGTGATTTTCTTTGTCAAGAAATTTATGCAGAATTTATTCAAATAAGGAAATGGGATCTGAAAAAATAGAGAAGCCCAGGCACCATGTGATTTGCAGGTTCACTTCCTGCTCTCTGCAGCTATCAAGAATATTATATCCAAACAGTATGTTTAATACTGCAAACGTGTGTAGCAGCATCTTTCACAAGTGTGATACCTGTTACCTTGGACAGCAACCTTGTTTGGCTGCTTTGTTTCCATGTCATTAGAGCTGTGTGTGGGGAAGTGGGAAAGGAAGAAGGGGCATGGCTGGCATGTAAAACCTTCTCTCTTATGAGGATATAAATAGCACTTAATACTTATATACTGCTCCATAATGCTTTATAGCACTCTCTGGGTGGCTTAGAGTCAGCATATTGCCTCCAATAATCTGTGTCCTCATTCTATCAACCTCAGAAAGATGGAAGGCTGAGTCAACCTTGAGCTGGTGAGGATTGAACTTCTGGCACCCAACAGAATTAGTCTGCAATACTGCATTCTAACCACTGTGCCGCCATGGCTCTTGTAATAAGTATCATAAGGAAGATATAAATTCTGAATGTGATATTCCGAGATATTTATACCTGGGTTTGAAAATGTATAAGGGTGTTTCTGTATTATCCATGCTTTTTGTGTTGTTTTTGCAAAAATTCTTTCATGACATCATTAACACTTAGCAGTGAAGCTGTTTGGATCCTAGTAAAGACTTAAATGTGATGTTATGATAGGCATTTCACTGACCTGTCTTAAAAGGCATTTCACTGACCTGTCTTCCTTTTCCTGAAATTCCCTCTTGCTATAGAATCTGGTTGCAGGTTCTCTTCTTGCATTTCAAAACCTTTGTTTTAATCAATGTATATTTTGACCCAACATTTTTTTCAGGCCATCCAGAGGCGGTTAGAAGAGATTGAAGTGACTTTTCGGGATCTTGAGAAACAGGGCATAAAGGTGGAACAATCTCTGCGAGAAGAGGCAGGTAAGAATCTGAAGTTTCCTTGAATAGGAATGGTGTTTGAATATGGCCACGTGTGAAGAACGGGTGCCACAAGTGGTATAATGGTTCTTCTTTAAGCCAACGTGTCAGATTTAACTTCTCACATCTCCCCTTCTCATATTCTTTAGGAACAGAGTCTGAACTGAAGAAGCAGTGGATGAACCAGTTGCTCGCGTTGATCCAAAAGAAGAACAGCCTGATGTCTGAGGAGTCTGACCTCATGATTGAGTAAGGAACTCTACAAGTTATGTCAGTTAAGATCCATAACTCATTTTGACCATAGAAAATTGATCCAATGCTGCTCTTTCATGTGCCATAGGAATTATAAGGGAGACCACAAGCCATTTGTGGTTTCTCCTAAGATAACCTTCAAGCAAGCAAGTGGACTAGCTTCTCAGCTTATATCAAAAAACGGTCAGAATGAGTCCTAGATAGCATAAGCAGTATAAACACCCCACTTGCATCCCAGAAAAGTGTTAAAAATGTAATTTCATACTCCAAATAAGATAATCATGGAGTATGAATAAAAGCATTCTGCCCAAAAGAGAAAAAATATACTTGACATCAGCTCATTGTCCTTTATTATTTCTGTTACCCCTTAACCTAATTCCAAACAGCCTTCTTAATGTTTTGGATTAATAGCTCCTTTAATATTTTATAATACTGTTTCTTCTAACATTGTGAAGCCATCCAGTATCATTTTGGAGTTCGGTGACCTACAAATGTGATAAATAATAAATACCAATTCCATTCCAATTCAGTTCTATCATTAATATTCATTAAAATCTTAACATCTTTAACATTTCTTTTCAATTAAATATACTTCCTTGGGAACACTTATAAGCTTTCCATAATTAATCCCCCCCCCCTATTTCTCTTCCCTTATATTTTATAAAACATTAAATAATTAAAATGTTCCCATCCTTTCCTAATTCAATTCTCTCATTCGTTTTATTTCCTTTATTTATTAACAAACATTTCGCTAGATTACAATAACTATTTTATCCATCATTTTAATCATACATTGTTTCATATTTTCTAAAATTATTTCTATTTCTAATATAACAATACTATCTTACGTACCTTTGCAGAATCTCTTTTTCAATTAAATTTTCACCCATTATCTCTAAATAGGCCCTGTTTCTCCATATCTTGTTTCTGTCCTTTATAACTTCTTTTCCTTTCCTTCTTCCCTCTCTTCTTCTCCCTCCCCTTTTTACCCCCTTGTCTCTCTACTTCTAATTCTCTCTTCTGTATTCCCCTCTTCTGTTGCTTTCTAATATTATACTTATTTTTCAAACTATTCTTCCTTTTCTTGGTTGTTTTTTCAAATCTTAAACTTTTCATTCTCTTTCCCCACTTTCCTTCCCCCCCCCCCACATAAAATTACTTAAAGATGGCTTCTTCTTTGTCCCAATCTTCTTGTTCTGCAGGCATTTCTTGTTGTTTCTCGTAGTTCCAGATTTCCATTTCTAAGAATTGAAATACGAAGCCAAAAGAACCTCTCCCTTCTTGTGCATCTTCTTTGTACTTTTTAAGTTTCATTTTCAGTTCTTCTAAAAGTAGTGTCATTTTAAACACTTTTAAACAACCACCCGATTGATTTTAGTCATTCAAATGCAATAACCAAAAATCCAGAGATCACCAAATAATCCAAATACTCCCAAGCTGTTTCTTCATGCGTCTTTTTTCACTTTCTTTTCCTGGGGTTCTCCTATTTTGTTGCCAAGTTTCAGTTAAAATGTTTCTTTTAGAAGTCTTGTTGAGGTTTTACTGTAAATTACTTTTAATTCCAGGCAGTCTCCTCCCTTTTTTCCAGATCCTGCCCTTTTATTCTTTTTCTCTCCTTTCCTGCTTTTAAAAGCTTTCAGAAATCCAGAAATCTTTATTATCCCTTTGACATTTTATTTTCAGCTTAAATGCCTATTGATGTCAAAGTAGATTTTTTTCCCAATTTCTTATTTAAATCTCTTAGCTGTCAGTATAGGGAAAGGGAGAGAAGAAAAAAACCAAATCCTTTCCCTTTTCTCTCTCCTTTGCTGCTTCAAAGTCTTCTTTGGGAACAATGTTACTTTTTTTTTTTAGTTTAAATTCCAGGGTACCTTAGTTGTTGCTTTTGCAGTTTAACCAGGTCAACCAAAACTTTCTCTTCTTTTCTTCCTCCTGCACATTCTTTTCCGGTCAGGTTCTTCTTTGAGGTGGCCATTTCTGACCACCGCTGCAACCGCCTTTGGGAAAGGGAGTATTGGCCAGCTGAGGAGGAGAGATGCGGCTCTCCTCAACCCTGCTGGCAGTCTCCCCCCTCTTCACCACCTCTACGGGGTGGCTTAGCCCCGAAACCAGTGGCTCGGGGCGCTCCAGTGGTGAGCACGGACCAAAACCATGCATGATCACGGTTTCGGTCTGTCCGTGAAGAGGCTCAAACCGGAAGTCAATTCACTAGGATACTTCTGTTAGCAAGACAAATATACCTAAGGTATAGTGATGTCATTTACATTTATGCTCTTCCTCATCTCATTTAGTATGGAGTTTTTGAAACGAGTGTGTACATACTGTATATATAGAGGACAACATGTTGCAATGAGAAAATCAGTGCAGAAACTCCAGGAAAGGGAATTCCTTATGTTATGAGGAATTTTTTCTTAGTTCTGGATAGTAACAATGACATTTTTTTTAGTGTGCAAGAGCTGAAGCTGGAGGAGCAGCAGTGCCAGCTGGATCAAGAGCTACGGCGCTACTATAATCTGGATGGTAAGAAAGAACATAATAGGTTGTTGTGGGAAAAGAGGAGGAGGAAGATGTGTTGGATATGTTCGCCACCTTGAGTTGTTTGTAAAATAATAAAGTAGGATACAAATGAATAAATAAGTAAAGAGCTGCCCAAGCTCATTATGAGATGAACTATAATTTTTGCCCTGAAAATAGCTGCTATTTAATCAGCTCAATTAATTTATACTCAGAAATGACCAATGTAGCAGATTGTGAAAAGCCAGGAGTCTGGTGGTCATAAGTCACACAGCCCTGGAAGACCCAACGTTGTGAAAGTTCTAAACAATGGACATTGGGTAACAAATAGAATCTCAAAATTGAAAGAAAATATTCCTCTGCCAAGAGGAGTTTCCCATTTGTCTTTGTTTTGCCCATATGTTTTGTCAAAGTTTGGCTTCAACAGCATATTTATTATGGCCATATGCAGTCTGGTATTCTCAAGATAGGAAATGTAAATAAAAAAGGGAGTATATGTTTACCTTTTGGTCTTAAGATTTTTCTTTTTAAATAATAAAAGAATTTGGTTGACAATAGTCAATAGCCCATTTAATAATACAGCTAAAAACAGCATGCACTCATCCTTTGAATGAAAAAAAACAAAACCACAGCATTTAGGTATGTTCACTCTGTGTGCATGGAGTGATGCCATGCTGGGGCAGAAAAACTAGGAAAGTTTATGTTCATTTATTTATTCATTCATTTGGGTTATGAAAGTATAATTCTTGGAAATCTATTTGTGATGAAACTTTAATCCCAGGTTTCCACGCAATATATTTTCACTTTGACAAAATAATAGATAAAGACTAGGGAACTTGCATCTCTTCAGATGTTGCCTCTTTCCAGAAATGGTTAGCCTCTGCATAACCAAAGAAGTTTGAAGATGTAATCCAGATACTCACAGTCCTAGCAGTTCTTTTTCTCCTTTACTATGTAATTAATATTATGATGGTTCCTTATTATGAGCATGTAATTTTTGTTTTAAAGATTATTTGAAAACATCTGAGGACCATGAAGCAGAGAAGATGATCTTGTCCCAACTGGTTGCAATTGTGAATCAGCGCAGTGCTCTCATCGAGATGCAAGAGAGGAAGCGGCTCAGTGAACTTTCTGAGCATGCTCCAGTGATGGAACATGCCTAGAATATTTGAGGTCAGGTTTATCTGGTGGATAAATTTGCTGAACATCATTCGTATTGGGGAAGCCATTCCATTCTAGACTCTGATGAACAAGCCTAATCTTTTGGAGCTTGAAGCATCTGATGCAACTACTTTTTAAAAAAAAGTATTTTAAGGAGTAATAAGGAAACTATGTAGAACTGCTTTTCATTGTTTGCAGATACAACTGTTGAACTGTTTTAAGAAAGAAGTCTATTTGCAGCATTTGGAGGGAAAATAATATTCAGAATATGTACATATTATTTAGCTATTGATGTATATATTTGCAGTTAGCATGCTCCACTTTTACACAGGGCCTCATCCAACAGAAAAGATTTCTTTCATCCAACTGCTGCAGGTGACTATGTGATGTAGATGTGGTAAATTAGGAGAGACTATATTGTTTAAGTGGAGAAGTATTCTAAAAGCAAAAAAGCATGATCCCTTCATGAAATTCAGAGAAGCCTTCAAACTGTCCAGAGTTATATTCTAGAAGAGGACACTTAGCTAAAATCTCTTGAAGAATATACAGAATCAGCAGAATATTTCAGAGGAAAGAAATAGATGCCCTACAATAAAAATTAAAAATGTCATCATCAAAGGACTTCTGCCATAATAAATGTGCAAGGAGAAATATACATCTCTCGCACGTTTTTTCAAGCAAAACAGATGCTATAGGGCAAGATCTTGAAGCTGGAGCAGTACGGTTGAAAAATGTATGCACTTCCTGCAAAATAAACAATGAATGTGGATGAAGATCACAATACACTGCTCTTGAGGAAATACTTCAAGTGAACAGATGTTATTTGGTAACTAAGGTCAATTTACAATCTGAAAGCTGCTACTCCTGGATGGATATAAGCCAACTCATTTTTCACAGACTTGCTCCAATAAACATAATGGAGTGAGAACGCAATTCTGTCTTTTGTCATCCGTTAACTTCACAATAGAGGAAATATCCATCAAACCTTTTCAAAGTTTTTTTGGTCTTGACCCAATTTCCTCCAAGAAGTAGCCAGGATTATGTTATTTGGCTTTAAGTAAGATTGCAAATGGCTGCAAAGGCAGACAATACAGTTCTTAGCTAGAGGTAATTAAGCCAAACCTGACCCTGAATTTGAACTGAAACCAGTTAAAAAATAATTTTCACATCAAGTATTTTTGAGAAAAAGAAATTTAGTAGATGAATGATATTCTGATAGATTCTGAAGATATCCCTTCCTACAACAATTAAGCACCAGGAACTGGACAGCTCCTAAAGCTAATGCAAAATGTAAAGACTTGTGTGTTCAATTCCAGTAAAATGTTTGAATCACATAGAATAACATCTGACTACCTGTGATGGAAGAGTCACGGTAAGGCTAAAAGTGCCATGTAATGCCTCAGGGTTGTAATAGGAAGCAACTCTCTTGGATATACAGCTCTTCTTTCTCACAGGGCAGGTGGAGCAATTTATGGCTCCTGGAGCCTGACTACTGAAATTCCTCAGGCAAAGTAACACCACGAAAAACAGAGTCAAAGAATTTCTTCCAACCACAAAAGAAAGAGAAAACTAGACACACCCATTGCATCCCTTAAACTCTCCCCAAATTTTAAAGATAGCACCTAATCCCTGAGGCATATCCCCAATCTATTCATTAGGATTATTAGTTGCAGTTCTATAAAAGATTCATATTCCAATTGCAGTGACATTCATACGTGAACTTAAAAGACTGAGAAAGACAAAACAAAACTTCATGTGTAAGTTGAGATAGAATCCCTTACATACATCTTATTAAAGTAACTCAGCTAATAGTGCTAGAGAACAGCCTTCTGTCTAGAATCTGGAGAGTGTGAACAAACATTAATACAAATAGACTGGTTTGTTATACAACTAATCTATATACCGGTAGTCCTTGATTTACCATTAGGCTAATGACGGTTGGAAATTACAACAACCCTGAAAAAAGTTGTTTACAATTGGTCCTCACACTTATAACTGTCATAACATCCCCACAGCCACATGATCATAATTCAGGCACTAGGCAACCTGCACATATTCATGTGATTGCCACTTCTGACCTTCCCAGACAGCTTCCAATAAGCAAATCCGGGGAAGCCAGATTGGCTTAAGACTGTGGTTCGCTTAATGACCATGTCATGGTAAAAGTAAAATTGGTTGGCCACATAGTGACTCACTTAATGACCACACTGCTTAGTGATAGAAGTTCCAGACCCAGTTGTGATTGAAATTCAAAGACTGCTTGTAAAACTTATTCAGCTTTGCTAGCCCAGTTCTTCCATTTCTGTTTCCCCTTCAATGAATGGGAGCTACAGTGGTGAAAGATAATTGTATGCTAAAGTGTTACACAGCAAGGTACATATCCCATCAATAATTGTTGCCATTTATTTCGTACATCTGAAAACATTGTAGGAAAAGCAGCTGTGTACAATTAGTAATGTTTTATTTTACGCATCTGTTCTTACCTGCTTTTTCAGTACAAAGTTAACAGCCCGTTATTTGTTTAATTCTATTAAAACAGTATTTTATGATAAAAATGGTTTTTTAAATAGCCAGGTTCATTTCAAAACCCATCCATGTCTTCAGCACAAAAAAGATCTTTAAAAAAATATTGCTCAAAAATTCAGCCTATTAACCCCTCCCCGCTTACAGTATCAAAGGTGAATTGTCATTCCTTATTTAAAAACCAGGGAACTGTTATTGCTGAGAATCCCAAAGGGACTTGTTATTCCCACCTCTACCCAGTCTGTTGGTCCATACCATCCATCCAATGTTTCACCTGCTATTGAATTTCTCCTGGAGCGTCTGCAGCCCCACCCGCATCTGTTCCTCTGTTCCCTGCAGCACCTTCACTTCAACAATGTGGAAGAGATACAGCACAGCTGAGATAAGCAGGACTGACACAGAGAGCAGACTGAGCAAAGAGAAGGAGAACTTGGGGAAGGGCTGCTGGAGAGCTCCCCCAAACATGGAACTTATGGCCATGGCTCCTTGTATAACCAGCAGGAGAAGAGCCAGGACAGCCATGCGGCCACAGAAGTACTGCTGCCGTTTTGCTGAATGTAACCCCACTTGCACCTCCAGACGAGCTTCATTCAAGACATCCACCAGAACTGGCTCTAGAAGCAAAGAGAAGGGTGAGCTTCAACCACACGAAGCTGTTCATTCTACACAGTGAGATCCAGATATCCCGGATTGATTGCTATTTTATCAAGAGAGGGAGGGAATTATTGGGCTACTCCAGCGGACAGTTTTCTTTCTGAAACTAACAGGATGGGAATTTAGCTTTATCTAAGTGCCTGGGTAGAAAATTATATAATGAATAATGATGTAGGCTGTGACAAAATAAGAGAAGGTAAATAGCATCTGCTATCCTGCTACATGATCTCCTAGATTCAGGGGTCCCCAACCTCTGGTCCGTGGCCCAGTGCCAGGATGCAGCCCATTCAGAACCAGAACCAGGGGAAGTGGTGGGCGAGCACACGCAATGCGAAGCTGCATTTGTGAAAGCAGCGCACGCACGCACATGCAAACCATCCCCTCTCCCAATCCCGCCACCGCCGCTTCCACCGGTCTGCCGAGCCAGAAAGGTTGGAAACCGCTGTCCTAGATACACAAACTCTAATGATGAGAGTGATCACTTCAGACTAAACACCAGATATGGTAAGAGTCTTTTCATATACAAACTTGCAGAGAATTGAATGAGCTGAAAAAGCTGGCAGAGACTAATAGCACTCTGCTTGGATTCCAAGCAAGAGAAAAAGACAATTGGCAAACAAGCAAAGATTTAGCAGCCCCAGGCAGACTAATTGATGATCACCAAAAAAGAGAATTATGTAACAAAGCACCAATATACTCAGCAGAGACATCCAGAGGAAGAAGAAACCAGAGAGAAAATCAAGTCTGTGTTGATTGCAAGAGATTGCCAGCTAAAGTTTTAATTAAAGTCCTTGATGAACTCTGGGGAATTTAGTAACAATTACATTTTAAAGGAGGTATGGTCAATGTTAGCAGAAGCACTGCTACAGTGCAGGCAGGGAGCTAGTTAATCCCAGAATGTTAGAGCAATTAGGCCATAATGCAATTCATTATATTCCCCTGAAGACAGAAACCAAAAGAAGAAGAGCTGAAGCTGCTGAAGAGAAATGTGAATATTTGTTATGCTGCATATAAAAAAAAGTGAATTAATTTGCCAGAAAGTCATTGCACGCTGTTGTTTTGTCTGACTGTTCCTATGAACCCTCTTGCAGAACCATAGGGAATCTGGAGACTCCAGATGCTGCTTAATGTTACAGCTCCAAGAATCTCTCAATAGAGAGGCCTCCCTCTCTAGGAACGATGGTCACTGTGGTTCAACATTAACTGGAAGGCCACAGATTCTCTCTTCCTGCTGCTTTTGCTCCGCTTGTGGGAAACCAATGAAATCTGAACACTCACCAACTGGAAGATTGTTTTCACTTTTATTTGATTGGACTACAGAGAGTGTCACATTCACAGCTTCATGGTCAGAGTAAGGGAAATCCTTGCCGGGAACGGTTCCCGTAGTAGTTTCATGAATATTGCATCTAATATCATAGTGAGATGAGCCCTATAAGAAAGGACAGACAAGATGGAAAACTATTTGTTATCTGCAGACAGCATAACTAAAGGAACACCCCTCCCCCACAAATGTTATAGCTAGATTATGAGCTACAAATAAGGCAGAAAAAAATGGAAGGTTATTTTCTTAGAAAAACAGAAGCAGTTTGAAATGTCCAAAAGGAACTAGATTTACCCTAGGAGAAATTTCACTCTACTTGAAGCTTGTTGCCATATAATCTGTCCACAAAGGTAAGTATCACGAAGGAATGTGATTTGATCTATAGCATCCCCTGGTAGTTTGTTCCTTTAGCTAATTTTTTTTATCTACTGTAATTAAATCCCATTTAAAATCCCCTGCTCTATGTACAGATTTAGGCAATACGTAGCTTCTGAAAGGAAGACAACTCTGATTTAATGTAATCCTATCTTGCCCCCAAAAGGTTAGACACTAAACAGTTGATATTTTTCTCCACAAATCTAAGATGACCCTCCATTTTAATGATAAAGATCAGTTAAATTAGAGAACAGCAAATTAAAGGAGAACTTGAAAAGTATTTTCAGTCTTTCTGTTCTGACAAACTTCACTTTAGTCTCCTGAATGTATTTCAAGAGGCTACTTGTGTTCAGATTCAGACTAAGAAAGCAACTGTAATTGTATTTCCCTTCCTGCTAGAAAAACAGGTTAACAGATTAAAGGTGATCTTTCCATCATAAGACATTGGATTGAAATGGGAAGGAACAATGGCTGTGGGCCAAGTATTGTTGCTGTGGGTTCAATAAGGTTATTTCAATGCTCCAGGATAGCAATGCTCAGACCTATATTTTAAGGCTTCAGAACAGACATGGGTGCTCGGATAGTATTTCTCTGCAACTTCCTAAGTCAGTTTTTCCCTGGGATCAGGAAGCTGCTCCCCCCACAATCGCATGCCTTGTTTTTTTTTAAAAAAGGTGCATTCAATTTAAGCAGTTCAGACAGGTGCCTTTGATATCTGTCCTTGATGCTGAAGTGCCGCATGACCCTTCTGCTCTTAGCCTTGCACACACTAGCACTGTCTGGACCGTCCTCACCTGAAAAGCCACGCTTCTGAGAGCAACTGTCAAATGGACACACCATTACAGGGGTCTCCAACCTTAGCAACTTTAAGCAAAGCTGGCTAAGGAATTCTGAGAGTTGAAGTCCACAAGTCTTAAAGTTGCTGTGGTTGGAGAAACCTGCACCAGTAAACAAGTACGGTAGCTGAGAAAGATGAAAACATGGGGCAGTTGCCTTGTTCAGTGGAAAGTGTTTTTCAAACGAGAGCTTTCATTCTCACCTGCTTCCCAAGCTCTCTCTACAACACTTTACCCAGTCTCTGTTTTCTAGAATATTAACTTGCACGTACTTTATACAGGATGTAGTCGATGCGAATCCCCTGGGGATAACACTGCATGTCTTTCTCGTTAATGTAGCAGTTGGCTGGCACAAGGGTACAGCCATCTTCACAGCCCTGAGAAAGAAGATCAGAGGCAAAAGGGACTCTTAACACAACATTTAGAGTAGTTGCAAGAATGCAAGAGGTAAACTGGATTTCCATCGCAGAAATTTTAATTTAGGGGAACAAAAAGGGAGCTCAGTGAAGTGGATAAAACAGAGGTACTTTTAAGCTTTTGAATGAATGGAAATAATTGTTTCTGAGTTTCTAGGGCAGGGTCCCAGAATTCCTCCTCCAATCATGTTAGCCCAGGAATTCTGGGAGTTGAAGTCCACAAGTCTTAAACTTGCCAAGTTTGAGGACCCTTGCTCTATGACAATATCAGACATGGACATATTCAGGTGCTTAATGTGCATGCAAAGAAGTTCACTTTAATTTTCTCTGTGGCTATGAAGGAATCCTGCAGCCCTGTCCATCCTCTCAATAGCCGAATGCCGACATCTTCTGAGTGCATGTTCAGATCCCCTCCAAGCAGCACCACATCAGCTCCTTTCGAGGTATGCCTGGAAAGGTGAGAGAGAATCACAAAAGAAGAAAGAGCTTTTGGAAGGAAGAGGAAGAAACAGGGTTATATGAAATTTATCCCTAATGAATAAACATTCTTCTCCATCTCTCTCCCACTGGAGAGACTGGTGTGAAATAAACCAAGCTTCTCCAGAACTAAAAGGTTTAACTTTTAGCTAACTAAAGTTAACTTTAACGGGACACAGGGGGGACAACAAGTGGTACAGCACCTGTCATTGGATTCCAATATAGCACATTTAAAAAAAAAATCCTACAGCTATATAGTTCTTACTGTATGAATTGGCCAAGTTCCCAGGCCTGAACCACTCGATGAGGCAGGTATGTATCCTTCTCTCGGCTATATTCAGCATGGAGCTGGGGGGGGAATGAATATATAAAAATTACACATGTACATTATCTATGAAATTACACATCCCTTATTCCCACGTTCATTTTAGTTGCTAAATATAAAATAACAGGGAAAAAAAATCTTGGTTCATGGTTACAAGAGAAGTTACATCATGAACTTCCTCCCAAAAGTCTCATGATAAAAATAGACTTTTTGATAGGTGTAGCATAGAATTGTTTGATTAATCTTAGATCACACAGGTAGATAATCTTAGCATTAATGACTGCTTTGTCTCCTTAATCAGAAATAATGTAAATGTGAATATTTATACACACCAGAAACAAATACCTGATCTCCTGTTTTTCTGGGAGAGGGGAGCCTTTGAGTTAGTGTTGATTCCTGGTAACCACTACACTAGTCCCAGCAGTTTTCTTGGCAAGATTTTTCAGAAGTGATTGGTTATTACCTTCTTCTTAGGACTGAGAGACAGTGGCTGGCCCAAACCTGGCTTCATGCCTAAGGCAGGACTAGAACTCACAGTCTCCCAGTTTTTAGCCTGGTACCTTAAACCACTTATACCAAACTGGTCCAATTCATATACACCCAACACAGTGAACACAATATTTGTTCAATCTTCCTCCTTTTCAGAAATCTTGCTCCAGTTTTCTAATGGCAGTGCAAAACCATTGATCTGTAGCTCTAAAGACTAACCGCCCTTTGTCTACAGAAAAGCCCTGAGTTTGCCCACCTAGATGTCAAGATGCAAACAGCCACTTGGGACAGGAAGATGTGGAATCCGACAGCAAGGTATTACTGATGGTGTGAATTCATCAAGATGCCATCTTCCTAACTCAAGTCAAAAGATGAAAGTCTAGACCAGGGGGTCTTCAAACTTGACAGCTTTAAGGCTTGTGAACTTAAACTCCCAGAATTCCTCCTCCAGTCATGTTAGCTCAGGAATTCTGGGAGTTGAAGTCCACAAGTCTTAAAATTGCCAAGCTTGAAGGTCCTTGCTCTAGACTCTTCACCCCTTTCCATATGATTGAGTTATTTTGATAGCTTGCTCTAAGTACTCAATGATGGATTTGAGAGAAGCGTTCATAATTTTAAAGTGCAAAAAAATAAAACAAATAGAAATGCTCACATGAGTCACATAAACGTTGAAAATAATGCCCCGGATCTTTAGCACTATGAGACCAACAGATTTGCCACCGAACCAATCTCCATGCTGCAACTGTGAAAGAATACAGCATAATGTAAAACACAGGGGCAAAACTAAAACAATGAGTTCACCAGTAGAAATAAGTATGCCTTGGACTCTTTCCTTAAGCATGTTACTCACCATGTATGGGTAACCGTTCACAGAATATTGATACAAGAAGGTGTCCAGGATCTGATGTTTGGAGAAGATGCAGAGCCCGCTGCCAAACACCCCACTGCAGAAGAATCGACGCCAAATTATTATTATTTTCCCTACGGTGGGCAGTCTTGGAGAGTTTGGGACTTTTTGTCAGTTGCCAAAGTTCTGGGGTGACATTGTCACTGGAAATGGTGAGGCAAGAATCCCCATGTCTTTCTCTCATTTCTTGGATTTTTCCAAATTAAATAGGAGCACTAAAACTACTGGAACCTGTATGCATTTAATTTATCTGGCTTTTGCAAACAATTGTACCGTTATTTGTCAGTTTGCCATCAAATTTTGGCAGGTGGAGTTGATTCTCAGGACTGAAAGTAAAAAGGGGTTTTCATATCTCTGGCTGAGAACAAGGACTCCATTGCTACCCAACATATGAGCCTAAAGCTGAGCTTTCTGGAATATAACTCTGTGAGAAACACAGGTAAAGGTTTGCAGAGAAAAACCAACATTTAGAACGTTTGGAATTATTCCTGGCTCTCTGAGAATGGAGTGACATTTTACAAAACCACCAGAAATTGGCGCTTGCCATGAACTGCGATTTCAACAGCTACATATACATTTGGATGTACGAGTGTTCTTGAGTTACAACCGTTTGTTTAGTGACCGTTCAAAGTTACAATGGCACTGAAACAAGGGACTTATGACTGTTTTTCACAATTGCAACCATTTCAGCATCTCCGTGGTCTCATGATAACTGCAGTGTCCCGGGGTCATATCACCTTTTGTGACATTCGGACCAAGTTAGTGGGGAAGCCAGATTCACTTAACAACTGCAGCGGTTCAATTAATGACTAGCAAGAAAAATGTAAAATGGGGCAAATCTCACTTAACAACTGCCTTGCTTAGCAATAGAAATGTTGGGCTTAATTAAGGACTTCTTGTACTGTATATACTTTAAGTCACACTACAACTACATATTTTTATCAGCATCTGCAATTGCAGGATAATTTATCTGATCCATGTGCCAAAATTTGTACAAAAACACACAGCTGCTCCATGATCAGTTGTGTTTAAGTTATTTTATATATATATATACACACAAACACACAAACACACACACATACACACACACACACATACTGAATAGGACTCAAAGTACTACAGGAAATTCAACTGGTTTCCCAGCGTGATGCGAGTATGACTCAACATCCTGCTCCATTTGCATGCAAGCTATCTAAACATCCTTAGTAACCATTAATAACACCCTTAGTAACCAAGTTCATTGGCGTCATTTTCAAGAGCAAATAGCATAACAGGTCCACATTGAGACACATCCCATTAAAACAAATTTTCAGGCTGTTCATATTAGCACAAAACCATTGATCTGTAGCATGATTACTGGAAATCTGAAGAAGTCTATACAATTGGGCAGTGGGGAAAACGGTGCAAAAATGCAACAGGTGTACTTTTCCCTGTCCTTGTTTGGGAGAAGTAGAGTTGGATCACTTAAAAAAAACCTTCGTTAAGCTAATTTTAAGATTTAGACTACAGTTGTGTTTGATTGCCATAAAATCATACCAGTGTTGTTGAATGCCATGATCAATGGAGGCTTTAGGATCCTCAAGACTCAAAGTGCCAAGTCTTGTCTTTACCTACTTTTAGGTCTAATCACACTTTGTCTAGTCAGACAGAAAAATCCAGCTAATCGTAAGATGGAACAACAACAAAAAAAGCTTGTGTTATTCTTCAGCCATGGACACAAATTGAAGCTGTTGTGTATTCTTCTTGAAATTCAAATCTTGCAAAAACGTTACTGATACATCCCAAACAGAACAATGACTGTAAACTGCTTTCTAGATATGGTAGAAGGCAACCAAACCTTTTTGAGTGCCAGATTGGAGAATGCTACCTGGTCAAACTAACATAATGATAGCAATAGCACTTAGACTTATATAGCGCTTCATAGTGCTGTACAGCATCCTCTAAGCAGTTTACAGAGTCCGCATATTGCCCCCAACAATCTGGATCCCCCTTTTATCAAACTCGGAAGGATGAAAGTCCGAGTCAACCTTGAGCCAGTCAGGATCGAACCCCTGGCAGTGAGTACTTTTCCTGCAATACTGCATTCTAACCACTGCACCACCAGGGCTACTGATTCTGAACTAGGAAGGCTTTTTCTGCCTTATTAAGTAGTATCAACTGGATCACTATGCCATTCCAAAGTTAAACAAAAGAAAACTTATGAGATTACCTGAACTTCATTTTTACCTTTTAAAGTAGTGGGAAGAAGGGTACTGGGCACACAGTTTATTTTGCAGCATTAGGTAATCTTTTTCACTCCACACCTGAAAAGCAAAATGCTATCACCACAGTGACTGTGAAAAAAGTAACAAAATGGCATATTGAAGGTCCCTAAGCTTATCTGCAATTAATTGCCAGTCCCAAAAGAACTCTGCATGAAATGCAGAAATGTTTTTCTGCAACTGTGTATAATCCTTTGAAAATTTCTCCAGAGCATAGCAAGGACGCTTCTGCTGATCTGTGTCACAAAAATTGGCACACCCTTCCAGTGATTGAATTCATCCATTACACTAAGCCATAATATCATTTGCTGAGTTTGTTGAGTTGAGTAATGACTAGATACTGTATGACACAGGTTATTATGGTTTCTTTAACAAAACAAACCATGCCTTTAACATCATGTATGAAAATGTAATATGTCATCAGTTGAAGTAGGATTAAAACCCCACATTTTGTTCCTACAAGATCCATTCTAGTATGCGAAATCTTCACCTCCTGTAAGAGTGCCAGGTCAAATCCCTCCTGGTTAAGGACATCCCCAATCAATGCAATACGCTCTCGCCGTAATTTGCTCAGGTAAGGAATAGCCCTAGACAAGGTGAAAAGGAAAGGGAAAGGAGTGAGGATCACTTCCAATGTGGTGGATTGGAATACAAATTTGCATTGAATCAATTTGTATCTTTATTTATATAAGAGCAGTTCATGTTCCTTTAACTTTGTCTCCCTCTGTTCAACTCATGTAACATCCTTGATAATCTGTGTCTGTCAGGGACTACCTGGTCACAGAGCACATGCCTGTATAGACACAGGACTCAAGACACATAGGCTACCACAGATACTTATTCCTTCCTGCTGTAAAATGCAGGTTGGCTTGTTATTAAGGCCTTGACTGAACATATCAAAGCTATTATACTTGGTGAAGTTTAATTCTGTCCCTGGTAACGTTTCATACTGTGTTTATTGATGGGATAATTTTCTCTACTCAGCTGTGTTTAGAAGGAAAAAGGTTAATGTCTGTTCCTGAAAAGAAACTAGGTTGAGAAATCTGACTAATTCCTATGTCTATTTGTTGTGGTAATTGGTTTAACAAGCAACAGCTACTGTTGTGATTCAATTATTTGTATTGTGTTTGAATGTCTTCCTTCGCTGCTTTAGTGGTTCCTGGCACTGTCCTTTTGGGGTGTACTTCCAAGAGGCAGGATGCAAGCTTGGCACTGATTTTTTTACTGCCTTTCTGAGGGGCACGTGATCTTTCCTTAAATCTGGGTGATTTCCTTAGGACATCTTGTGAGGTGAGTGAGACCAACTGGTGTCTTTAAGTGATGCAAATGGATCTAAGGATTGCTTCTCCTGGGTGTGCTCTTTCTGCAGAGCTTAAATGATCTTTCTGCTAAAGGGTTTCACTTTATGAGCAGCAGTTGGCTGCTGATAGTTATTATTGCATTTTAACTATTTTAATTCTTCAAGGTGCTCTCCGGCTTGCAGGTATTTTTAATCTAATGATTGGTATTTAGGGCAGCTTTTTGCAAGCAAATAAGCTTTTTGCATTTTTGAACAGGTAATCCTTGACTTACAACAGTTCATTTAGTGACCATTCAAAGTTACAATGCCACTGAAAAAAGTGACTTATGACTGTTTTTCACATTTACAACCATTGCAGCATCCCCAGTCACGAGAGGCCAGGCGAGGAGAAGCGCCAGTCACATGTCCACCTAGCCATGCCCACCCAGTCACCAAGCCACACCCACCAAGCCAAGCCCACAGAACCAGTTTAAAAATTTGAATCCCACCCCTGACTTATTCCATCTCATTTTGCAAAGTATAATAATAATTTTCCAAGCAAGTGACTTCTGCACCAAGCACAGAAATGATATTAGCTGATAGAATGCATGCTGCAAAGTGTAAAGAAGAATAAAACTAGGAAAAACTTAAGAGAATTATATTGTTTAAAGCAGTTTAACTACCTAATGGAGAAATAAAGTTGAACTATCACAACTGCAGGCAATAATCAATATCAGGAGACTTGTATTTGAAGACCTTTTCAGATATGCATTATTATAGCTAAATTTTAATCCATATCTCCTCCATCATTTTGGCTAAGCTGCCCATACAACCAAAACTCTATTGTAAAATTGTAACTAAGAACTTGTGGTCCAGAGAGCAGGACAGGAAGAAAAGAGAAATCGACAGCATTCAAGGAATAATTAATACCAACATCACACACTAAAATCCCAAAGCACAAAGACAGGGCACTGATAGCCTGATTTGAGATAATAGCTATAAACCCCAAGAAGGCGGGGGGAATCAAAACCCACAGTTTTTAAAGTAATGAGTACAATTCAGAACTCTTGGTAATATCTTATTTCTAAGATATTTTCACAATGAAAAAAACTACTCAGATCAAAGCTTCCTCAAACAAATGAAAAAGATAAGCTCACCAGCAATTGAGGTCAAAGACACGAAGCTGGACTGGAGAATCCTCCATTGCTGTAGATGCAAGACAATGTACAGGTGAATTCCAATCAACACTTAACACAATGAGAAGTTCTGATTTAACTTTTTGAGCAAGCTGAATTTAAGCTTGATCTTTTTTTCCCCTCTGCCAGAAGAACAGGAATTGTGACTAAGAACTATGGCTTTGGGACTTTCAAGCGAATTAAAGTTAGGGTGGGGCCTTTGGAGGAACTGATTCAGCCTGGAGCTCATTTGGTTTGATCTGGTTTGGTGTATAAGAACAGAGGAAGCCTCTGTGATAAACCCCTTCTCATCACTTGAATATTTCTATCTCTTTAGTTAGTAAAAGCCGTCAGGAAGCTTTTGAAATCCACAACTGAGTAATACATTTTTAACCACCAATGAAAACACGCAAGATTTCAAGGTCTCCAGGAGTATTCATTATGGAAGAGAACTCGAAAGCTTGCACACTGTTGTGACATTTTAGTGGATCCAGATAAAGAAAATGCACAACTATGGTACAACTATCAAAGTGAAAGAGATCAAACCCTTTTTCCTGATGCCCCTTAGATATGGTAAGTATAAATTCCCATAATTCCTAGATAAATGGGCAATAGCAGTCAGCAGATTATGGAAAGATGTCCCAGAGATATTATATCTGCTTACTGTGGTCAGCATTTTTTTTTACTTTTGGAGGAGTTCACTGTCAGAGCCACACAAAATGATAGTGGCAAATGTTATACCGTATGAGCTTTAAACAGGAAATAGCCACATTTTGAATATGTGCATATCTTCATTTTTGTATAATTTATGATAGTTCTGTAGTTTTGGCCATCATGTGTTTCCTACTACTAAGCTTGTTTTTTTAATTGGCATTTTGCTTCCTAATTGTTTTGTGTCAGAAATTTCTGAACTCTACCCTAAATTTGCTATAATGACCATTTCTATGTTTAGAAGGCTTTCTCCCATTGGTTGGTAGTGAGGCATTTATTCCAATTTTCTTAGAAACCACACAAATGTTGTTATGTAGACATGTGCATCAGTTTAGGTGACAAATGTTCTCAGCCTTGGGTTGGGTTCATATACTGCACAAACCTATAACAGGATGTGATTGTTTATGGCAAATACAGTGTACAATGCTAAAAACATCTGAAATGACTCTCACATTAAAACATTATTTGACAGTTACAACTAATGAACAAATCTGTCAGTCACTGTCTTGTCTCTTTCCAACAAAAACTTAAAATTTAACTTTAACTTTACTTTTTATTTTGTGACCTTAAAAATTATATATTTTATGGAGCTTGGCTTTGCTACCTGAATAAATTTTATTATGGTGATCTCTTCATTATACAGTAACAAGATTGAAATTTACTACATAGTGATAGTAATATACCATTGAAGGATTATATCGCTAAAATGCAATTTCACATATTTAGTGAGTATTGAATAGGAAATCAGAAAGGGATCAAACACATTCTACAATATACGCACATGGTATGCTTGCTTGTGGTAGGCTTACAGGATATTAGCCTAGCAGCACAAATCATAAAAAATAAATGGAACATTAAGAAAGTGAATTACAAAATAATCAAATGCTTACTTTAAAATGATCATTGTTTTTATAGCGATTGCTTTATCTGAAAATGGGAGAGACATTCTTTGAGAACCATTGTATTTATAGATTTAGTATTAGCCTTTCTTAAATTTGCCCTCAGGTATAAAAGCAACATGAAATGGAATTGGCAACTCTTCCTTCTTTCCAATCTTTTGGTATTATGGTGTGATGACAATGCCAGAAAAATACAAGAATTCAAATCTATGACTGTCAATCTGTGAAAAAACAGACTTGCGCTCAAGTTCTATAGACACAACAAAGAACTATATAGCAATAATACACTCATGAAATACAGGAAGTAACTGTTATTCCTTTTCACAGTATCGGGCAGAGGCAGTAAACATTCTATTATATAAAACTGCTTGAGGCAGAAGGAACACCCTCTTATCCTAAATCAAATTCCAAAGAATATTATAATGCGAACAATTAAGAATCTTATACAATACTGCAAATAATATACTTAAATATAACAAAGGTGTCATAATGCAGACTTTCACAGCATTTTACAATGTCACCTAATTTCATGAGTTCCCAACGTTTTTATCCTCAAATGTTAGATATCTCAATGCCAGAAATCAAATATCAGAAGCGGCAACATTCCAAAATCACTGGGGCAGGGAGGGAGGAAGGGGAGGATATTTTAGCCAGCCACGACAATTTTTCCATTGATCCTAAAGTGGCCACTCTGAAGCAAGACTTTAAAAACAGATTGCAAAATGAAATCCCCTAATTATAATTCAAGATTAGAACTATACTGCTTCACTTTAGTACATGTTGCTGAACAATTTACTTCCAGCATCAATCATTCTAAGGCTGATGCTTTTAGTTTAAGAATTTATCTTCCCCATCCCTGACCAAGACATTTTGCCTGTTTTGACCTGAAGGGAGGTCACAGATTTAAAAATGCACTCTATAAGTTCACCAAGGTTTGCTCCTCTGTTTAATAAAAGCATGCACAGACAGAACAAGAATGAAGTTTACTGTGGTTGTTTTGCTTTTTGTTGTCCAAATCGAATGGACCTTTATCTTCTGCATTGTGATGACATTTTGTGCACCTGTTAAACTATTGGCTGAAATAACTTTTTGCAGCTCTTGAGGCAAAAATCCAAGTCCTTTGCTCTGCATTGCGCGGGAAGCTTTAACATCCATTCTAAGCATATTTGGGAAGGGGGTTGGGGACAGTGCAGAACAGGGAAGCTCATTTCCCACCCCACTTGAGTCACTAAACATTTCCAAAGACGTTAACAAAACAGTTACCAGGAAGGTGTGTGTGTCCTCTTTTTGCTGGAAGAGGATGCTTAGTCGCTAAATCAGATTAAATCAGTTCGGCCACACTGAATTCACCTTAAGCCTCTTTTTCCCATCTGACGTTCAAGGCACGACAATATGAGCACGCTAACCATTCCCAGCACAGTTCAGTATTTTGCCCAAGAGACGTTTTCAACAGAGCTGTAGCAGTCGGAGCTCAGAGTGTCTTCGACTTCAGTCCTGGTCGATTTAAAACTGAGAGAAAAGGCTGCCAAGCATTCTATCTTAAACAGGTATCAATCTCCTGTTTCAACATAGTGAGGGGAGGAAGCAGCTTTCCAGCAAATACTACAGTTGCTGCTTGTGGCAGCAGGAGAAAGAGGAAGGAAGAGAGAAAAACGATTTAGGGTGCAAGGCAGCGATATAGGACTCCGAAAGAGCTTGCAGAGCCGATGCATACCTGGGCGTTTCTATCACCAGCCAGTCGAGCCCACTTCCAGTTTTCACTCCCTGCCCTCCATTATTCGCGCGAACACCGCCCGGCCAGCAGCGAAGCAGCGACAACTAAAGCGGGGAAGCAGCGCCTAACTGTGCGGCGCGCAGTGCATCTCGGGTCTTGTAGGCCTTCGTCCCTGTCAACACAATATATGTTTAAACCCCTTTCCCTCCCCTCGCGGATTGGAGGAGGCGCCGCTGGGTGGAGAAGGAAGAAGTGGGTGGCAAAATAACCGTTCGAACTTGTATCCACTTTCCTGCGAGTAAGCTCAATTTAACGCAACAAGTTTTTGTTTTCCCCTTTGAAGAAAAGGAAGGTACTTGCAATGCGAATTAGAAGTGCTGGAGGCTTTGGGCATAGTTAATTATATAAGAACTGTTGCAACATAGAAAAAAAAAACTTTGAAAGGCAGGTTTTTGCCTTTCTCATGAACACAATACCAACTTAAATTCTAACACATCAGCTGCTCCTGAACATGAACATATCCAGATAACCAAAGGTTGGCATTGCTTTGTCACATCCCCAGCCCAGAGCTGAAACCTCTTGAAGTCTGATTGTCCCAGTCTTCCAGTCCCATGCCACTTCATACTAAAAAGGGCTTTTGGTGTCCAGGGACGTTATGCAGGGAGGGTTAGAAACTCTTAAGAATGATCACAAGCCCACAACTGAAGCTTGTTTCTTTTTCCAGATGTTGCACAAGCAATTCAAGTAAAAAGGAGTAGGGCTTCAGTCCCAAAGTTGTGGTTGTCTTCTTGACTTACTTCTGATACCTGTTGCAGATACACCTCTTGGGAGGGAATGGAATCAGGAGAATCCATGGATTGTTTTGCTTAATTTATCTTGCATTAAAGTAGAAAGGACAACATTATTCACTGGCCTTGTGGCTGGGACAGAGGAGAACTGGGTAGTGGGGTTATGCCAGCATACATTTCTGTCAGTATAAAGACTGCTAGGTAGCACTTTAACATAGTTGCTTAGCTATTCCTATGCTAATTTCACTGTAAAGAAGTAACAAGGATCCATTTGTGTCATTGCTTTGTTTATCATGAATCAGACATATTTTTCTTACCATACTTCAGAAACAATCCTACATATTCTTATCTTATTGGCTTCAAGTGCGGTTCAGTTTAGGACTTCTTTGTTATTTGTGCAATCCATGGGAACTGTAATATTCAACTCCTCTGAACTGTGTCCAGAAGCGTCTGCCCTTCTCCTATCTGCTTTTTTCAGAATCCATGTTTTGTGTCATAAGTAGCAATTGGAAAAATTATTGCATTATGGTGTGTGAAGGGTGTGAAGGGTTGTTAGGAATATAAGTCACCTAACAGCTATTTGGGTTGGAAATATATAAACCAGGATAGACATTTTAATACTGTATCTTTAAGAAAATGCAAAACTGTAGTTGGGTGTGGTTTCTCAAACGGCCATAAGATGGAGCCAGAAACCTGGGTTGTCTTAGTCTTAGTCTCAGAAGAGAGCGTGAGTGAGTATCTGTTTCCTTCTGTTGGAGAGTTTTGCCGTTCCTGAATTGACTGTTATTCTTGGATTTGATGTAAGTCTGATACTGAACTGTTTTTGACACTGGACTTTGTTATTGGATTATCCCTGGATTGAAAACTGACTGATTTACCTGTGAATGACTTTGGACTGCTTGTTTGAACTTTGCTTAACGTTTCTGAAAGTAAAAACCTACATTTACTGTACAGTGTATCTGTGTGCTGTGTGTGTATTATTCAAACACTTCTGTCAGACTGTGCTCCTTCTAAATCCCAAGAAAGAAATACTCAGACTCCATGGTGTAGAGCAGAATTATTCTTTTACTGGAAATTGAATGGTAGCAACAGAATCAATTCCGAAACTGAGATATTGGCGGGTAAAATGCATATACAAAGGGATAGAATTGCTCCCCCCCTCCAAAGATCAAATGATTCTTCCAATTAAAACTTCTGAATAGGATCATGTGGTCATCTCCAGGTGATGATGAGGCTACTGTCAGTGACCTTGACATATTTTGATAAAGTTCGCAGCTGCGCAGAAAAAAGGACAGAGGCTAGCGAAGAAATGGAAAGTTAAAACAAAGAATCCCCCCTCCCTTTCTTTACCCAGCAAAGGAATGCAAAACACCTCCTGCCTTCTTCCCCTCCAAGATTCCCCCCCTCCCACCGTTTCATGACAGCCGAAAGAGAGAAAAAGAGCATAGCAACAAATAAGCAATAGTTAGGGGTGAAGATATCTTGATAGTTAGGGGTGAAGATATCTTGAGGCTGACAACTTCTCTCAAATACGTCTCCCTGTATGCGCTCATTCTCCTAATGGGGAATTACCTCAACACTGATTATGGGCCCAGGCCATACCAGGCTCAGATAACTGAGAGTTGGTGTGAATACACAGTACTGTATGCAGACAGCTGTTTACTGTTTAATTGTGGGTTGCTATCCTGGTAAAGATGGCACAAGTCACTTCAACAAGTCTATCACTGATAACCCGGTTGGATGGAACAAACTATGTTTCCTGGTCTATGAAGTGCAGTCTACTTCTGCGTAGAGAAGGTTTATGGAATGTAGTTCAAGACCCACCGGATGTAAATGCTTGTGATCCAGCTAATGAGGACGATGCTAAGAAGCTTGCTGACTTTAAACGGATCAACGAACGAGCTCTTTGTATAATTGGACTAACACTGAGTGACCAGCAGCTAGTCCATATTCGTGGAGAAGAGTCTGCTGCTAAGTGTTGGGAGAATTTGAATTTGGATTTATGTTCGTGACAGTGTAGGTGCACACATACATCTTACACGTAAACTGTTTACAGCATGTCTTCTGAAAGGTGGAGATATGTTAGCTCATTTAAACTTCATGAAAATAACTTTTCAAGAGCTACATGAAAAGGAACTGATATTTTCAGAGCTGCATCAAGTTTACATAATTCTTTCCTCATTGGATGAAAGTTATGATGACTATGTATCTTCACTGGAAGTCCTGACCAGAGATAAACTGACATTGACTGACATAACTGGAAGATTGTTAGAAGAAGCAAGAAGATGGCTGGATAGAGATGAACTGAGGAAGGAACAACCACAAGAAGAGGATTTGTCTTCAACTGCCTATACTGTTAGGAAATGTTTTTCTTGTGGGGCTAGGGGACATATAACTAAATTCTGTAAAAAAGGAAAACAACAGAATACTGGTAATCACCAGAAGGCTAAGAAGAATGTTAGTTTAGCTATGTCTAGCAATTCAACTGTAAACCATGATTTGTGGGTTGTTGATAGTGGAGCATCGCAATGCATTACTAAAGATAGAAAAAGGTTTGTAATGATGTCCACAAGTAAACGACATGTATCATTGGCAAATGGATGAAAGATTAAAGCATCAGGTTAAGGTACTGCATATTGTTCTTGTATAAATGAGCATTTAACTATGTTATATGTACCTAAACTGAAATTTAATTTGCTATCAGTAAGGGCTTTAATTAATCTTGGTTATGTAGTAACCTTTAGGGGAGATAGCTGTATAATAGAGAAAGAGGGTAAAAGGGTTACTGCTACATTAGAGAATGATTTATATGAAATACATGATGACCAGTTGAAGATGGCTAACTCAGTTTATAACAATGTTAAGCCACATGATGAATGTATACATTTACTGCATAGACGTCTAGGGCACATTAATTTCAAAATGCTCAGACAAACTGTTAAATTGTCAGAGGGAGTAAAATTGAAACCCTGTAGCAAGTATTTAAACTGTAATGCTTGTAGTCAAGAGAAAAGCAAGGTTACTCCAGAAAACAGACTTCATGGGTTTAAGACCAAAGAACCTTTAGAGGTTGTGTTTGCTGACATAATTGGTCCTAAGAAACCAAGTTTAGGAGGTGCCTGCTATATTTTGAGTATTATGGACCATTACTCACGATATGGTTCCTGCTATCTTATGAAAAACAAAACAGAAACATTCCAACATTTCTTTAACTGGCTAAGGTTTGCAGAGAGAAAAATGAAAAGTAATTACTTTAGTTACTGATAATGGGACTGAGTTTGCACGCTCAAGAGCAGGCAAATCATTGTAGGGAATTACTTCAAAACCTGGCATAAATGGTCCAAACCCATCATAGCTTACCCATTGCTTAAATTTCTGTAGCATCTCTACTTTACTCTTCAGTAAATAGCAGAATCCAAACTTGCTATAGTCATCAACAATGACCAGTGCATACTTAGCTCCTTCTAAACTGGCTTGCATTGGCACAACCAAGTTTGCATGTACCAGCTCTCGAGCTCTTGTTGTCTGCCTTGTGCTACTTTTGCTTACTGGGAATGCTTTGGACTTTGATGATTGGCATACTGCACAGTCCAAATATGCCTTACATCCCTTTACACGCAATCCTTCTGCATATTGATCCATCTTTTGAACAACTTGGAAGCTGGCATGGGATTCAGGATCAAAAATAAATAACAACCATATTTAATGGATTTCTGGAGGAACATTCTTGTGAAAAATTGGCTTCCAAATTCTGTCATTTAGCTGTGGTATTTTTTGTTACATGAAGGAATGCTTTTCTGCAGAAACAATTCCTGAAGTTTTAGAAAAGAGTCAATCAAATAAAGAGTTTGCATATGTAGTTCAGATATGATAAAATAGGTGAAATATCTGTTTCATTGTTTTATCCTATCAGTTGCCTCTTACTTAACCTTGGAAAAGATGTCCTCATGATTAATAGAGGTTAGTACAACCTAGTGCAGATTATGTTTTCCCCTCAGGTGGTAAATATAGGGGATCCCTGAATGCTGCATAGCAGAAAAAATATGAAAAGAAGATCTCACCGAGCTTGTAGCCAACTACAATAAAGATTTATTTACCATAAAATGGAATACAAAGCATTTTGTACTGGCATAGTCTGGTATTCATTATATTATGACTGATTCTTTTAACTTACTCATTAGTTTATTTTACATTGCTACTTGTTACTTTTACTATGTTGAATGTCTAATATATACTTTCAAAAATAATACACATATACCAAGCAATGCATTCAACAACATAATTATTCTGGTTTCTGAGAACATGTCTT